GCTCAGGGAGAACCGCAGGTCCACTGTGCTGCCCGCGTGTGGCCTTGCATGGGGGGCAGGGGAGAAAGTGGGGGCTGAGCCAGGTTCACAGGCACAGGGCCCACAGAGTCAAGGTCCTTGGCTTAGAAGAGAAGTCTCACCAGGACACAGAGCTACCCTTGATGGTTTCAGGGCTGCCCTGTAGGCAAGAGTTTTACTCTTCTCTGGCGCTCCAGGGATCAGAACAATCCAGGGAGAAAGCTCTGGGGAGGCAGCTTCCCATTTAACATAAGAAGCTCCTCTGAATGGCAAGAGTTGGCTTATGAGCAACTGGTGACTTTAGAAAAGCCCAGCTCCCCATCACAGCAGCATTCCAGCGAGGCTCTGGGCCTCGGAGGAGAAGGGTGCGGGAGGGCTCCTGGCACCAAGAGGCTGGGAGGGATGATCTCTTTAGGTCCTTTCAACTCCGAGGGTCTCTATTTTTTGGTCTTCTCCCCAGCGACTTTCCTTGGGTCTCCCCATAATCTGGACCGAGTCCTGGCCAAAATTCCACCCAGGCATACTCTCCATTCCCAGAAAGCTTCGGGAGGCCCTGACACTGTACCAGAGACATGGGTTGCCACAGGGGTCTATTCCAACCCTGAGATTCCAGGACCCCAGTAACGATCCTCTGGGATGTCTGGGTGCCTTCCCAGCTTGCAAGCCTTGAGCAAGCTCAAAGCAAAGGGACAGGGTGGGCCTATAACGCATTCCACAAGGCAGCTGGAGGGAGAGGGGAGTCTCTGCTTCTCCCCATCTGCACCCCTACAATGCAGCACCAGTTCTATGACAGGCCCAGTGTGTCTACAGTCAAAGCCAAGGATTCCCAACCACTAAGGAAAGCAAGCGGTGGCAACCAGCTTGATGTACCCTGGGCATGTCTTACTAATCAGGCTGGTCTCTCCCGAGCAGCCTGTAGGAAGGGAGAAGTCTGAGGAGTGCCAACTACTGCACTCTGTCTCATCCCGCTTCCCACCACACTCGACACAATAATGCCTGACGACTGTGAAGATGCAGCTGAGTCTTACTGCCAACACCCACAAACTCAGCACCCCTTCCCTCACTCAAGCCCTATCCACGCACGCACACCAGACACGGCTCCTTTCACCTCTCTGCAGGGAAGCTGATCCCCACTGCCCCGAGCTCCCGACTGCCTTGAGGGTTCTGGTCTAAAGGACTCTGGTTGGGGAGAAAACAGCCAGGCTGTGAACCTAGATGGTTTCACTCCAGTCTCCTCCTCCTGCCTCAGGCAGAGAGCCGTGGGCAGCTGCTTTCACAGAACACGGAGAGAAGCCCAGACGTTCCCTGCAACACGGGCCTAATTCATGCATTAGGAGGGCTCCACTCACCGTCTCTTAAAATGTTTTCAGGAAAGGGATGCACATCTGAGTGAGTAACAGTAAGGGAGTTCTTGATGTGTCATTTCAATCTGTCCCGCTACCTCTCTGCCCACTGCCTGCCAGCTGAACCTAGGTGGTCAGCCCTCAACTCAAGCAGCAACCCTGCAGACCCCTGAAGAAGGTGTCTCGAAAGAACCAGAGGGAACCAGACACTCCCACGGGCAGGCTGTGGGCCTTGGATGAGCGTGTAACGCAGCAGACCCTCTCCAGGGCATCCATCAAGAAGCAAGAAGCATGGCCTGTGTCCATGGCCTGAGGAAGGGTGTCCTGTGTGTGCGGAGCACCCCTTGGAAGTCAGGGGCTCCCTTCTAAACTTCCCAATGAACTGGGTGGCTTTGACCAAGCTCTCTGGGCCTTGTGTCCCACCCTGGGTAGGAGGAGGACCCTGAGGTCCTGGGCGGTCTTTTGGTGGGAGGAAGTCTCTCTCCTCAGGGTCCATCCAGGACCCCTCCCAGCAAGCCCAGCCTCCCGTGCTCCAGTACCTGGAGTGGATGCCATCCACAAACGGCCCCCCTCGACCCTTCAGCTGGTCCACCTCTTGGCGCAGCTTCTCAATCTCTTCGGACAGGCGGCCCTGTGCCAGGCAGACCCGGTATGGGGTGGGGGCCAGGGAGGGGCAGAGAGGGGAGAGAGGGACAAAGAGGGCAGCAGAGTTGGGGAGAAGCAGCAGAATGAACTGAGGAGTGCAAAGCCAAGGCCCAGGCCAGGCCCACAGATCACACCAGACACTAGGTCCAACAGAAGACCAAACAGAAGGTGGGTGGCAGGCAGGCAGTGCTGGGGCAGGAAAGGTCTGCCTGGGGAAGGACTTTGGGAGCAGGCCTGCAGAGCCCTCACCACACCTGGCATGACCCTGGAGGCTGGGCAGCAGAGGGCCCGAGCCCTCTGCACATCACAGACACTGGGAGGCAGGCACAGTGGCCGATCCTCCCAGAACCACTGGTCTGAGGCCTCACCAAGCCCTACTGGGTCCTTCCTTGGGCCCTGGTCTCTGCTGCCCAGTCTATGCTCTGTGCTGTGGCCTCAGTTCTTCCCTACATGCAGATGTAACGCACCTACTGCGCGGGCTCTAGTGAGGATCTGTGAACTAACGTGTGCACATGGTCCAGCCAATGGGCTGGCTCTGTGTCGGGTCCCAGAGCAGCTGCACCCGGCACAGTACCCGGCCCTCCCAGGCAGCGGGAGCTGGTACCTTGTGATGGTGCTGCTCCTCAATCTGCCGCTGGGAGCTCTCCAGCTCCTGGATCAGCGTGTTCTGCGGGAGGACAGCGGTGAGCTAGGGACCCGGCTGGGCTCCTATTCCCCTGCCCTGCCCTGGCCCTCCAGGCCAGCCAGCTCCTCCGCCTCGCCCCTCCTGCCCCACCGCACAGCACCTTTTCCTCCAGGGCCGCCATGCGCTCCTTGAGGTGGAGCTGCAGGCGCTCATTGGACTCGCTAAGCAGCCGGTCCACAGTGTCTGACAGCCTCTTGTTGTGTTCCTCATTCATCTTCTCCCGCTGGCGCACCTGCACCGTCAGCCATCGCCCCAGGTCACCCAAGGTCACCCCAGGGCCACTCCGCTGTCCTCCCAGGGAGCCACCCAGTCCACCCTGTTCGCCTGTCCCACTTTCACCCTCCTGGAGCTTCTCTCCAGCTCTCCCGACCACCTTCTCCGGCCCCTCTGTGGCTTCTCCCCACCCGCTTCCTCCCTGCCCCATCCACAGCCTATCCTGGGGGGGGCCGTGCGGGGCCTCACCCTTGCCAGCTCCTGGTTCTTCTCCTCCAGCTGGCCCTCTAGCTGCCGCAGGTGCTCCTCAATGTTTCCATGCCGTTCCTCAGCCTGCAGGCAGGGATAGGTCAGTGCAGCCCACAGATGTCCGCCTTCCTGTTCAGGTGGCCCGCCTCACGCGTCCTGGTGCCAGGGTGGTCTTTGGGGATTGGGGCCTTAGGGACCAACAGAGCCCAGTCCTCCAACTGCTGTCCTTGAGCCAAACTGCCATCCCCTGCCTTTCTTCCCAGGCACTCCAGTCCCTGCCAAGTCCTCCCTACCCCCTTCTTCCTGCTCTGGGCCTGGCCTAAAACATCTGGGCCCTGGCCAGTGTGGCTCAGCTGGTTGGGTAACGAGGGAAAGGGTGGCTCTTCCAACCAACAGACACAGGGTGGGTTTCTTGCAGTCGCCAGTGGGAAGCAGCGGGAATGGCAGACACCCAGGCCCGGCTGCTCGCCTTGGTGAGGGCTGCGATTCTCTGGGCCAGCTCGGCCTCCACCTCCGGAAGTGTCTCCGCCTTCTGCAGGGTCTGCTGCAGCTTCTGCTCCGCAACCTCCAGCAGCTCCTGCAGGTGTCGAGCCTTCTCCTCACACTGGCGAGAGCGGAAGGTGGACGGTCAGGAGGGAGCACTGCAGCCCCCCAGGCCCCAGCCTCAGCACAGCACCAGGACAGGACAGGAAGCAAGAAACAGCCCTGGCTCTTGGCTGCCCAAGGCAACCTGCAGGACCCCAGAGGCTCCTGGCCACCCAGGGGGGTCCCGCGTGAGCAAGACACAGGGTCAAGCCCAGCGCCTCCTCGCCCGTCAGCGGCAGTTACCTGGCGGTGCAGGGACTCCTTATTGGCCAGCTCACTCTCCAGCTTGTCGTTCAGGTCGTGGATGGACGTGGCCTCACGCTGAGCAGCCAGGTACCGCTTCTCCAGGGTGGTGATTCGTTCCTCCATGTCCTCCTTCTGGGCCAGAGCCTGGGCGGGAGAGCAGGGAACCCGAGGAGAGGCCATCAGCTGCCCCCTGCCCCCGCCCTGCCCGCACCTCCCCACCCATGCCTGGCAGGCTTGTATCCTCCACGCTGCCCCGGCCAGTGTCTGACTTTACCTCATCCCTCCAGCCGTTCCTGCCCCCACCGGACTCCCCCAAGTGCTCAGTCTTGCACTCCCCAGTGCTCGCCTGGGCCCCTCCACATCCAGGCTTCGGAGCAGTTGCCCTCCTGCGAGCTGAAGGCCCGCACCCGGCTGATGGGGCAGGCCGGGCCTTGCTCACCTCCCGCAGGTCCCGCTGATGCCTGCCGCTCAGCTCCTCCGACTTGATAAGGTCCCGGCGGGCCGTGCCCAGGTCCTCCTCCAGCTCAGCCACAGCTGCTGTCAGGGTGACCAGCCGCTCCCGGGCCTGGCTCAGCTCAAAGTTCTGCTTCTCCAGCAGCTCCTGCAGCTCCTCCAGCCGGCCTGCGTCATCCTCCGGGGACAGCGAGCTGTCAGTCTGTCATCGGAGCCCGAGACGTCCCACTCCCCTGCGCCACCCCAGGGAGGGGGAGGGACGGCACTGCCCCAGCCTCAGAGCACTCCTCCAGGAACACCTGCCTTCCTCCGGGCCCCAGGAGTTCACCGCAGACAGTGACCAAACACCCCTGTTCCCCTGTGTATCTCTTGAAAAGCAACAGTTTCTAGTTTGACCTGGGATCTCAGCGTCTGTAACCTAGAGAGGGGCGTGACTGGGGACACAGGCTGGGAGAGAGGGTCCTTCCTGACTGAAGCTGACGCACAGGTATTTGGGCCCTAACAGTTAGTTCAAGTGGACAAGCACCTTGTGTGCCTGGCAGAGCACTGGGCACGAAAACAAAATTCTATAGATTTCTCTGCAGATGGGGTGGGGAAAGAAGGAAAGAGAAGTGGGAAAGTTGGAGGAAGCCCCAAATTTAAGCTGAGCAGTTGCTCTACTGAACAGGGCAGGGTGGGGCACCACCTCCTGTCCAGGGGAAGACATGTCCCCTACTATGCAGCTCTCATGACCCACCTTCCACAGGCGTTTCAGTCCCAGCTCCACAGTCCCCTCCTCTTCGGCCACTCCATCCTGAACCCCTGCCCCCTGCTGCAAGGCAGACACCTGTAGGGCATAGTCCTAGCACAGTGAGTCAAAGACAAGAGAACCTCCATATGTTCCAGGCTCTTCTGGGTCCCCCGCCTCCCCTTGGCCAGCGGTCTCCAGCCAAGACAGTAGGTCTGCAGGGAGAATTGGATGGGGTGCCCAAGGGGCAAAGGGCTGAACCAGTTCAGGTACAGACAGAGGGTGGGCAGGTGCTTACCTGCTGGTGGGCACCTGCCAGCTGCTCCTCCAAGGTGGTGACTCGCTCCAGGGCCGCCCGGAGCCGCTCTCGCACCTGCCCAAGGTAAGAAGGTAAAGGGATGGAGGAAGAAACAGAGGCCCCACTGGATGCAGGCTGGGGAAGCCTGGGCTTGGCCGACCACTGCTGGTGTGAGGCAAAGAGAGTCTCTGCCAAGAGCAGACTTCCGAGGGGGAACCTAAGCCAAGCCCTTGGACACTGGGCAATGGCGAGGGAGCCCATTATGAGGCTAAAGAGCAGCTTTCCCTCAGCATAGGATGCAGAAATCACAGAGGAGAGTGCGCCAAGCAGGTACCTTCTCATCCAGGGCCTTGTGGTGCTCAAACAGCGACTTGAGGGCCTTCAGCACCTCCACCTCACTGGAGACCCCTGAGGGCGACTGGGCCTGGCGCTTCACCACCGTCATCCGCAGTGACCGCTCGTGGCGAGACACCAGGCACTCCAGGTGTTCCAGAAGCAGCTGGCAACGAACAGGGAGAAGAGAGGAAGGCTGTGAGCACGTGCGTCGGGGCTACAGGAGGGCCCATGTTATCACGGGTACACACAAGTACAGCTGTGTGTGCGTTAACATGTTGAAATACTGCCTTGTTCATAAGCAGCTGCTGCCCCGACCGAACACCGCCCCACACCAGCTGCCCTGGTCTTTCCCCCAGGACCCCAACTCCAGGTGAAAAGCCCAGCACCAACGGTGGAATAATCTATCATCCCAGACGTAAGGCAGGGATGTGCCTGGGCTGGCCGAGAGGTCACACGTGCCAGGTCGCCCACTTACTCTCGTGTTGTTTCTCTCCGCTTTCAGCTCCGATATCTCTTCCTCCCGCTCTAGGAGCTGCTCCCGACACATGCTCAGCTCCCGGGTTAAGGTGGCAAATTCCTGAAACCCATGGCCCCTCAGTGCATGGGACTCGCCACGAGGAGCCTGAAAAGCCGCTGCCCTCTGCCCCTGCCCCTCAATTACTGCCTTTCCAGCAGAGCCACAGCCAAGGGGGTCAAGCACCTCACACCCTGGCAGGCTTGGCCCTGGTGCTGGCTCACCAGCTCTCACACTGCCACATGCACACTGTACCCAGACAGGACTCGACGGCATGCCCCAGCCACACTCCTGACACACCACCAAAGGACTGGCGCCCTCCCCTCACCTCCCCCCTGCTCTGTGCTGCCTGGTTCCCCACTCCAGGATGCCTCCCACCTGCCTCCCCAACTCTGGCTCACGGACACAAAGCACAGTGTTGTCTATGGCGTTAAATACAAACTTCTCTCCTAGTTTCCCAACTTCTGTCTTAAGAATCCTTTCCATGCCCTCTAAGACCTGGTCAGCCTGAGTCACCTGTTGTCTCCATACCTTTGCTCCACGGGCTCCCTCCCCAGAGAGCCCAAACTCCTCTGGGCCTTCCCAGGCTTCCCACCCGCCACCTGGAAGAACAGGGTCTGGGGAGCAGCAGCCAGTCTGGGATGCCACCTGCTGGCCACAGGGGCTCACAGCAGCTGCCAGCTATGGCTGGTTTTCTTCCCGCATCAAATTCCACCGGTTTCTCCAGATGCTGGGAAGTGACAGGGAAGGGATTCTGCAGAGAGGTGAGGGGCAGGAGAGGCTCTATGGGTTCTATCTGTTGATATGCAACACAGTTGCCCAGAGCTGAGGGCCCTGAGGACACTGGGGAGGGGAAGGGAGGAGTGCAGAGGTCAGGTCTTACCTGGGGGAGGGCAGAGTTCAGATGGCGCTGCAGCTGGTCCCGCTCATGAAGGGCATCCTGGAGCCGACCCTGCGTGGCTGCCAAGGTCTCCTGACTCTCGCGAAGGGACTCTAGCAACTTCTCCCGCTCATCCAGCATGTTCACCATCAGCTGCTCAAAGTTGGCCTCAGCATCGGCGCCATGTGGGGGCCCCAGAGGGTCCCCCTCGTTGATCGTGGGCATCACTTCACACATGGTGGGGGTGAGCAGGGCCTTCTCAGCGTGGGGGACAGGGGAGGGGTTCACAGGGTGGGCACCTCCAGGTGGACCCAGTGCACGGGCCTCAGATCGGGCAGTGCCAGGCGAGTGGACAGGTGAGCCAGGGCTTTTCCCATGGCCTCAGTTGCTCTTGCTCTGGAAGGGGCCAGGTGCCTGGAGTGCCCCTGTGGAATGGAGCCAGAGAACCTGGCTTGGCCCCTCAGGGCTGGGGCTGGGTGCCCTGTGTCCCCAGGCAGGCGGGCAACAGCAGACTGTGGCCATGGCAGACAGGCAGAGGAGGGCTGGAAGAAGGCCCTTTGCTTAGGCTGAGCACCGGAGCCTGGCAGAGTCCCAGCTGGGTCGAGTGACACCCATGGTTTCTGGAGGGTAGTGGTCTGTGGGGAAAGAAACTGCTGTGACGACCAGCAGAGTAGAGAGGGGCGCCCAGGGAGGGGTGGGGGGGAAGGAAAGGGAGGTGTTAGCGCACGCCCCTTCTCAGCTTACTCACCCTTTCTCCCAGGAATGCACTGCCCACCCACAGCCTCTGCACCCTGCTTCCCCACCCCAGCTGTCAGAAGTGCAGCCGCAGTGGAGTGGTTCTCCCACCCACGTGGCTCCCTGGCCAAATATAGAAATGATTCAGTCAGCGGCAGGCTGCCCAGAGCCCTCCTGAGACCTAGGGTGGGAGGGTAAGGGGAGGAAACAGGGTCTTTGGCCCCTTTCCCCACAGCCTTCACCCCACACTCTGGCCAAGGCAGGCATAGAAGGGGTTAAAGGGCTCTAACCGCCTTGAGTCCCACACAGGGTGGTCCTGCCCTGATCACTGGGGCAATCCGGCTCCTTGGAGAGGCTCCTTGGTGAGGCTCTGCTGGCACTGAGGCTCAGCATTCAAGGAGGCGGCTCTGGCTAGAGTCACCCCCACCCCGGAAACCTGGCACACGGCAAGTGTCCATTCTGCATTCATGGCTGGATGATTCGAGGAAACTGGGGTGGATGTGGGGTGAGGATGTCACTCTCCTGAGGCAGGGCTAAGAGGTAGGGGCCCTACTCAAGGCTTGGAATCCTCTCCCTCCACATAACTGCCCATTGTTCGCGCTGTATCAGCGTGTGCACAGCCTGGCTCCAGTAATGCCTTGAGCCTGGCACAGGGATGCCCAGTGGTCAGAGCAAAGGAGGTGTAACGAGGACAGCATGCAGCTGGGGATTATTTCTCTGCTTGCAGCCAGCCTCCAACCTCCCTGCCGCTGCTGGAGGTCACTCCCTGAGTCAGTGTGCAGAGGGAGCTGTCTCCAGAGCTCCTGTTACATGAGATGAGGCGTGAGGCTCCCAGCACAGCGATGCGCCATAAACAGAGCTTTCCTTCCTTCCCCTTCCCCTCCCCACTTGGGAGACACAGGGACAGCTTCTTGTCCACCCCTCAGGTGGCAGACTGGGAGAGGACAGGATGCAGAGGGACCTAGCATGAGGTCAGAAGTCAGACACTGGGCTGAACCCAGCAGGAGAACCTGAGAAGGGCCAAGCCTCTTCCACCCGAACCCACCGGTCACCTCCTCCCCCAAAGTGCTGATGTTCTGGGCATCAACAGGGCAGCTGAGGGAGGCTGCGGAGGTATGTGGGCCTGGACCAGCAGAAGTTAGAGTGCCAATGTGAGGACTCCTGAGCTCACACCACAGCCATTCCTGGAGGTCCCAGTGGTTCAAGCAGGTGTGGGGGGGGTGCCCACACACAAGCACATAGGTGGACACAGGAGCACAGAGACCTAGGACATACACACATGTGGCCACACACATGCTCCCAGACACACTCTGACCCATGGGATCCTGTCCCCAAACTGACAGCCACCAGGGAAGCAAAAAGTAGTACCCTGGTCTGCACCTGCCCACTCCACATCCTTGTCCCCCAGAAACCAGAGTTGCCATCTCACTAATGCTAACAGCAATCCCTCCCATCCCCACCCACTCTGCTGGGGACCCTGCACTGAGTGCTCCATCTGAGAGACAAAGATCACAACGCCCCCCCCAGCCACCTCTCCAAGCCCAGCAGGGCCAGGCCCTCATCCCTCCTACTCCCTCACACCCACCCCAAGAAGTGAAAAAGCAGAAGAGACTGGGGAAGGGGCCCCCTGTGGCAGAAAGCATGCTGAGGAGCTCAGGGACACTGATTCCGGCAGCCTGCAGTGACTGTAAAGGGACCCAGAGCTGGCACCGAGGAGACCAGCTGGGTGGCCTTGGGCCTTCCGTCACCTACTGAGGCCTCTGCTGTAAGGTGGACCCCACCTCAGAGAGATGAGCTCATGTATAAACAGAGCTTGGAAAAGCAGAAAGCGCCCATGACTGCAGGGGACTATGAACTACCCCAGTGGTGGGTGAAGGTGGGCCTGTGAGTGGGTTTTTATAGCCCCTTTCAGAAAAGGGCTGGGAAGTTCTCGGGCTGCCCACTGTGACATGCTGGTTATTTGGTCCAACTTGGCCTCCCCCAAATCCTCCTGGTCATTCTGGCAACTGAGAAGCTGGCTTCGCTGCCACCAGCCCTTCCCCAGCCTCCCTCCAAACCAGGTGCCAGGTAGCAACTCCACTCCCCCTGGTGAAATGCCATCATGTAGAGCCAGGTGCCCCACTGAGGGCACCAGCAGGGTTAGCAGAAGGGAGCCTGGGACAGGGACACCTGGCTCCTCCTGGCGCCAGGGCCATCTTTAAATAGCAGTTATCACCTCAGCCTAAGGAAGCCTCCTCAGCTCCTGCACATCTCAGTAACACACACAGGTCCTGATTCAGAGATGAAGCCTACCCACCCCCAAAGTGAACATCTATGGGGGTTTGCCAGTGAGGAGTGTGGGTGGGCAGGCTGTAAAACAGCAGAAGAGGGCTACAGGGGAGCAAGTGTGTGTGTGTGGGGGGGGTCAGGCAAAAAACAGGCATCCAGGCTCATAAACACAGAACCCCAAAACTCTGAGGCCTCTTGGGCTTCCCAAAACCTATCCCCGTCTTTTCCTCACTGACAGGAGGGATGGGCACTTGGGTCTGATGTCCTGGCAGGTCACACACACAGGCTGGCTCCCCGCTGCCCTACCAGATGGCAGGCCCCACCACTGCGAGAGTGCGCGGACAGGGCCAGGCTGCTGCCCCATGGAGGCCACAGGGCCAGGGCCAAGCTGCCAGTAGGTGCTCAAGTCTCACTGCCCATTAGCTGGGCCAAGAGGGAGCCTCAGGGTGGGAGCCCCTCAGAGCAAAGAGGGAAGAAGAAGGTCATCCACCCAACTGGACCGCAGGAAACTGGAAGGGAGGTGTCACCCAGGAAAACAGCAATTATGACAGCAGCTATGATTTACTCAGCGTTTACCACGTGCCAGGCGCAGTGTTGTCGGTTGGCATATATTAACTCACTTCAACCCTCATGATTCCTCACAAGGAGACAGAATTCTTCCGGTTTCACAGATGTGAGACTTGGGACTCAGTCACATAACCAGGTTTCCACAGTGATTAAACTCCGGTATGTCTGAGTCCAGAGAGGGGCCTGACTCCTTCAGCCTAAGCCTTTCTCAGGTCTTTCTCGCCCTTGCCCAGGGTGCTGGGGTGTCACAGGCTAGGGACAGCTCCACCCTCCCACCCCTCCTCCTCTATGCTGGAGGAGGTCTCTGAGCAGCAGCCATCCCGATGAAGCCACTGGGCCTGTATCTGTGAAGCCCAGCACTGTATTCCTTGCAGAGCTAATTATAGGTCAGTGAGCCAACAGGCCAGAGGGGGACAGATGGTGACTTCCTGTGGCTGCAATGCCCCACTCCCTCCCCCCCATTTCTCCCAACTCTCTACCTGGGACCTGGGGCAGCTTTCCATCCCTCAGTCCATCCCTCAGTCCTCCCTGCTTTATACCAACCCCTCCTCTCCAGCACACACTCCACACACACACTCCACACAGCTCCACACCACACCGTGTTTCCACAGTAACCCATCCAAGGGTCTAAGCCCCAGTGTATCCCAGGCATAAAATGGCCTCAGCTAGTTCCCTCATATCCTAAAGCCCTCTTGGCACCCAGCTCCCTGGCCCTGCTCTCTCCCCAACTCTCACGGTTATCCTCAGGGGCTCTGAAAAGACCACAGAAATCCCTAACAACTCTTTCCAACTCTAAGATTTTAGCAATCAAGAGACCAGGACCTTGGCTACCTGCCCTGCCCCTCCAATCCCTCCTTAGCACCCAGCTGGCAGGCCACCCCCCCACACACGGCTCTGACCTCATGACATGCTCAGCAGCACATGCCCAGACAGTCCTTGCTGGACGTGCTTTCCCTTTCACACCCCCTGGCCCCACACTACACTGTCTTCCAGAGCTGGAGTCCCCTGCTAGGCCAGGGCCCCCGATAACCACTGAGCTATTCATCATCTCATTATTTTGAGATAACATTTACCCCAGGCAGCCTCCTCAGGCCTCAGGACAAAGTCCTAGAAAATAGCCAAGGGAAGCCATTCAAACTGCTCCTTCTGCTAAGGCAGCTTCCCTTGGGAGAGCCTGGGCTGTTAATAGGGGTAGGGGGTGGATGGGATGGAATCCAGTTCAGACAGCTCTATCCCCTAACCCAACAGCAATATAACAAAATGGGAGGGGCTGTTAACAGAGTGCCCACTGGGTGACTGTGTACCTTTCAGCTGCCCCATGGCCCTAAATTGTCTTCAAAAGACCCAGCACCTAGCACTATCTGGCATACAGTAGGTGCCCAATAAATGTTTGCTGAGTGCTGAACAGAGTACTAAGTACCAATCCCAACACCTCTGGAAAGACTGAGGGGAGTCTCTGGAACCTGGCTATTGGAGGGGCCCCAGCTAAGCAGAGCCCCCTCCTCAGCCACCTGGTCACCACCCACGGCGGCAGAGCAGCAGCCCCAACGCCCCTGCCCCTCTGCCGCACGGCCTGGATGCCTCTCCTCAAAGGTGACATCAGCACCTAGTGGCACCTTGTCCTGCACAGCTCCTCCTTTGCAAAGAGAAGCACCCACGCCGGGCTCCCGAGTGGGGCGGCCCGATCGGACGGCTCTCCTCCCGCCCCCGCCGAAGGCTGCAGGGTCTGCCCGGAAAACGCGCTGGGGGTGGGAAGTCGCTCCGCGCCCTCGCCCCGCGCTCGGGGATCTGCTCCCCCCCTTTCCCAGCTGCGCCCACTCTCGCCCCCACCCCGCAGGCCCCTGGCCGGCACTGCGGAGCCCGCCCCGCGGGCTGTTCGCGGCTGACAGCTGGAGG